AGGAGGAGGTGATGGCGTCTCTTTTACATTCCTTTTTTTCCTCTTGTCCTCTGTGTTATCCTTCTTCTGGGTGTGATGTTCACCCATAGTTTCACTGCCTCCACTGGGTTGTTGTGGATTCTGCATAGCTGTTGTATTCAGTGTTTGTGCTTTCCTTTCATTTTCTTGGTCCTTCTCAGACATATTTTCTTCTCCATTAACGTTTTGATTTCCATTCGTTTGGGCTGTGCCGGATGATTCTCTGTTGTCTTGTTCTCCCCCAGCCTCGTCTACCCCATTGGGGTGTGGGTTTGCAACCGTAGTCTCCTGCATTTGTGGTTGTGCCTGCGACTCCACCTGGTTCCTGCCATGCTGACCTGTTTGCAGTTTCTCTGTTTCCGCAGTAGTCACTGCAGCCTCCAGATGTTGAATAGCATTCTCTAGTTGGTTGGCAGCATTTTCTGCCGTAGTCAGGGCAAGTTGAAGTGAAAGTGTCTCACCGATTGCATCATGAGAAACGTCAATGGCATGTTGTCCAGCACTTTTCATTTCTTTGTTAGTGTACATTGGATATTCAGCCTCTATCTTTTTTAATTCGTCCAATTTGGTTCTATCATTTTCATTTGGTTGGCTGTACCTTTTTTTCAGTTCATCATATAGCTTGTAGAATTTTTCTGATGCCTGAAGAGCAGCATAGCCCTTTACAACAGTGTTCTCTTTTATTTCTTTTGTTTTCTTGATGACCTCCCTTGACGTGGCTACGACCTCCTTTGTTTTCTTGACGATTCGAAGTCCCTCTGCCTTCTTCTTCTCCATTTCTTCTGCATTGCCCCTATCGCTTTTGATTAACTCTAAAATTTCACGGGCAGACGTTTCCGCTTCTCCAATAGCTTCATCTACAGAATTTTCGGCCGCCGTGCAATTCTGTACTGCTTTTAGAGTCTCATTAGCTAAATTATTAGCCTCCACATCCAATCTTTGTGCTTCTTTTGCCAACTCAGTAATTTGCTTCATATCGTCCACATGTGCATCATCAGCATGAGCCACACCCACACAGCAGAGCAATAGTATAAACAAACACAACACACGGCACGGCATCATGGACATTCTTGTCAACAATATCACTTAGGTACACCGGCGTCTGCACGAATATAGAGAAAGAAAACAAGAAAAACGTAACAGAAAATAAATATTATATCAAACACTTTAGGAAGCATAAACAGTAAAAAAGAAAGAAACTCACATCACAAAAAAAAAAAGAAACCACCCGTTAATGAATGCAATACAGGGCACTAACCTCATTACGAGTAAAAACAAAAGGTGGCGCACACTCACAAATATCTAAAAAAAAGGTTCCCTTCCACGCAAAATCATCAAGCAAACAAACAGATATTAAACATTAGCCCAATTTACCCAGTAAACACAGAAATACATCAACTATGAGTGTAAGTCTATATGTGTGTATATATACGCAATTATAAATATAAATTCATCTGTTAGTATTCTTTCTTCTTTTTCCCAGTGCAAAAAAGCAGTTCATCACAGTGCAAGCCCAGGTGCACACAGAGAGAGTCCCCAATAATACAAACACACACACAATGGAGTAGCAATAATAATAATTATAGGATAAACACAGAGAGCAAAAACACATTAAACACATTAAGAAACAAAAAAAGAAAAGAAAATCCTAACAGGTGAAAGATTAGTTAGACTGTAGTGTGGATGCATGCAAAAAGAAAAAGAAAACAAAGGATGACCTGAGTCACACCACAATCAGCACACAAGAATACAGGCCAGTGTAACCACAATCAGTAGTGGTACACGCACCCACACAGAACTGCTGATACTGCTGCTGCTGTCTGCATCACCCTTCTTGTTGCTTGTGGATTCAGGAGGAAGTGTTGTTGTTGTTGTTGTTGTTGTTGTTGTTGTTGTGGTGGTGGTGGTGGTGGTGGTTAATTCGTCGTTATTCGGTGTAGTGCCATTCTCAGGTTCAGATTGTGTGTCTGTACTTCCTTGAGACTGTACAGCATTACTGTTACCTGCATCATTAGTACCTTGCGTACCAACCTCGTTGGGGGAACTTGGCGGATTTTCAGACTTCTGCTCCTCACTAATGGGAGTAGGTTCCTTTGCAGTGAGAGAGCCAATAATATTCTCTTCAGTGCCAGAATTGGGTCCACCATTATTTCCCGATTCCTGCCTCTCGGCCACGTTGTCGTTAGCCTGCGAATCCGCCGTGCCTCCACCTTTAGGTTCACCGTTCTGATTTTCTGATGAAGAATGAGCAGCATCGTTTCTATCTCTTGTACCAGGTTGTGGTGAAGTGTCAGGTTGACGAGGAGACTGAGTATTCCCTTCTGGTAGTTGAGTTTGTAATGTGTTCTGAGGACCAACGGGACCTTGTTCCATTTTAGCTTCCGCATCATCACTATAAGAAGAAACAGGTCGTCCAGTAGAACCAGCACTTCCACTTCCTCCCCCACCCTCTCCAGCACCTCCAAGAGCAGCTGCTTCAGTTGCACGAGGAACACCACCTTCAGGTTGAGGTTCACTAACTCCAACTTGAGGATTAGTAGCCAACACGAAACTGCAAGTACAACACAATGCAAGAACTATAACACACAACATGTAGCGCATCATCATTATTATAATTCTTATTGCTGTCTCACTTCACTAGTCCGCGAAAAGAAGAAAACAAATACAAAATAACATAAAAAAACGACATCTCCTCTAAATAAAAGAGAGATAACAATGAAAAGCACCAATAAAGAAAAAATGAGTGCAGTACAATGAATATTTACTTGCAGAACAAAACATGTAAAAACAAAAAGGTCGATAACACAGACGATAACACAAACAAATAAAATCCTCAGACATCTTGCCCATAAGCATGAACATACCCTTTGAGTGCCTTCTTCTCAAGCATGATGGCTTCTAATCGGTCTTCCTCTGCAGCTGTCTGCCTCTCCAGGTCCGTACATTTCAGCTGCAGTTCTTCCAATTCGTCCTTCACAGCAGTCATATCGTGCCTCACACGTTGCAGCTGCAGCATCAGGTTGTGTGCAGCACTTCGCCAGTCAGTCACGGTAACGGTGGGAGTGACATTATCACCAGAAATGAAAGGAGCATCAACTCGTAGACACGCTTCCAACAACTGAGATGTACGCCACCATACCACTTTCTCCTTCTCTAATGCTGTTTCCCCACATTCATCCAATG